GCCAAATGGCTCCCACTGGTGGTAAGGCTTGGATATTATAAAGCTAACTAGCGACCCTACGGGTCGCTAGCAAGTGGGTAGAGGCAGATACAATATAAGGCCTTAGTTGTGATTATAAATATCTTATATATAAAGCTGAATGTCTGTTTGTCTGTATGTCTGTCTGTCTGTCTGTATGTATGTCTGTGTGTACGTATGTTCCGAATAGAAAATTCCATTTCTGAACCGATCCGGACCAAACTTGGCACACATACACTACGGGCCCCGGCGGGTGTCATAGGCTACTTTTCGTCATCGATCGATATCGATTTTATCGATTTTTATCGATTTTTTTGCTGAGTTCACCTACGGGGCTGGGAGTTGGCACAGGGGGGTAATCGAGCATGGGGATTCCGAATACAATATTGGGTTTCAGGATTATCGATTACTTTTATCGATTTTATCGATTTTTTTGCAAAGTTTGAGCTACGGGGCTGGGAGTTCGCACAGGGGGGTAATCGAGCATGGGGATTCCGAATACAATATTGGTTTTCAGGATTATCGATTACTTTTATCGATTTTATCGATTTTTTTGCAAAGTTTGAGCTACGGGGCTGGGAGTTGGTACAGGGGGGTAATCGAGCATGCTGATCACCCCCAAGGGGAGTGATCAGCATGCTCGATTACACTCCTGTGCCAAATTCCAGCCCCCTAGCTCAAATTTTCAAAAAATCGATAAAATCGAAAAAGTAATGGACGATCCTGAAAACTAATATTGTGTTCGTAATCTGCATGCTCGATTACCCCCCTGTGCAAACTCCCAGCCCCGCAGGTCAAACTTTACAAAAAAAATCGATAAAATCGATAAAAGTAATGGACGATCCTGAAAACTAATATTGTGTTCGTAATCAGCATGCTCGATTACCCCCCTGTGCAAACTCCCAGCCCCGCAGGTCAAACTTTACAAAAAAAATCGATAAAATCGATAAAAGTAATGGACGATCCTGAAAACTAATGTTGTATTCGGAATCCCCATGCTCACTTCGCCCCCTGTGCCAACTCCTAGCCCTGTAAGTGAACTCTGCAAAAAAATCGATAAAAATCGGTAAAATCGACATCGATCGATAACGAAAAGTGGACTGTGACACCCGCCAGGGCCCGAAGTGTATGTGTGCCAAGTTTGGTCCGGATACGGCGGAGCCGGGTAAGCCAGCTAGTTTCTAAATAAGTTTTCTATGCCTTTGCTGAGAACATCTTTGCGAAGCATTCTACAAAAGGAGAACTGTTCGAAGAAGCAATAATCTCCAAAAATCACTCAGCATTTCTCGAAATTCCTGCTGCAACTTCAACAATTTCTATAGAAGATCGTCAAGGAAGTAGAACACCTATCGTTTTGGAAGTACAAATATCCACAACAATTGTGTACTACAAAAAACACTTTTCTCTCAGAATCAATCCGACAGCAACGAAATCAATCGTCTAAGAACTTTGTCAGAAAATTTTCTAAATTTTCTAATTTTCTAATTTCTTTCGCCAAAGGAATATGAAGCTTACTACATAAGTAGATCCCTCCCCGAAAAGCACACGAGCCACCTAAAGACGGTCAATCATAAGAACTGCATAAACGTACAAAAATCTGTTCCCCTGCCCGATCAAGTTGCCCTACGTGCCGCTCGAAGACCGTTCAAAATGCCCTACGTGCCGCTTGAAGACCGTTCAAAAATTATAAGAACTGCCCCAAACGTACAAAAATCTGTTTCCCTGCCCGATCAAGTTGCCCTACGTGCCGCTTACAGACCGTTTAAAAATTATAAGAACTGTCCCGAACGTAAAAAATCTGTCCCCCTCCCCGATCAAGTTGCCCTACGTGCCGCTCGAAGACCGTTCAAAATGCCCTACGCGCCGCTTGAAGACCATTTAAAAATTATAAGGACTGCCCCAAACGTACAAAAATCTGTTTTTCTGCCCGATCAAGTTGCCCTACGTGCCGCTTGAAAACAGTTCAAAAATTATAAGAACTGTCCCGAACGTACAAAAATCTGTCCCCCTGCCCGATCAAGTTGCCCTACGTGCCGCTC